TCTTCTTCTTCTTCTTCTTCTTCTTCTTCTTCTTCTTCCACTCCTCCTTCTCCATCCTCTTCCTCCTCCTGTCCTTTCGCATTTTCAATTGATTTTACTCTTTCTGATTTATTATAGTGTCCCCTTCTTTTTTGCTTGGTAAGTAATGAACTGTAGAAGTAATATTTTGGGCTATTTATTTGTTCTAATTTGTTAAGTTTTGTCATTCACTTTGCAGTGTCATTTGGGAGCGCCCTGATGAAGCACATTCTTTTTTCCGTCTGTCTAAGTTAGCAAAATAGATACATTATCATTCAGGTTCTGTATGGATTAAAGTTCTCGGACAGTAATTATACGTCTACCAAAATACGTTTTGATCCATTTTGACTTTTTATTCTATTATAAATTATTCCTTCACGTTCAATTAAAACCGTTTGATGTATCTGCTGTCTTTCTCAAGGTGGTTGTGGTTCCATTGATTCAATCCTGTCTACTTTTTCACAAATGCATGAAATACATAACCATTTGTACATTGATAATGTATTAGAAGATTGTGATGCCGAGATGACCAATAATGATAACAAACAACAATCCCTCTGCAGTTTGTCTGGACCTTGTTGACCTGACTGCTGAAGAAATGGCTGACCTGCCACTGTCCGACGTCATTATCCAGCCAGCCCCAGCATCTAGCACATCCAAATTTGTCTTCAGTGCTCCAGCAGGCAGCTCTCCTGTTGAAGTCATTGTGCAAGTTGAAAAAGGAGGACTTCTTGAATATCTGTTGGTTGAGGGTACTTTCACTTCTTACCAAGTCATCATCAAGGATGAATCTCTCACTGCTAGCGCACCTTTGGAGGTTTGTATTTGAACACAAACACATTCTTTAAATATCATCTTTAAGTTGAAGCAACTAATGACTGTGAACAATATTTAACACAAAGTGATATTTGGATCACGGCGTCACCTGCTTACTCCCTTCTTCTCTGTTCTATGTTTTGTCCATACCGTGCAACAATGTTGGGGCACTTTAAAAAAAAGAAACACATTGGTTGTTCCAAATGTGCGGCAACATTGCCTGTGGTCTGCTGCTGGTGGTTGCCTGGTCCGGAGACAGTTAATGCTTAAGTTTTAGTTGGGGAACTGGAAGTGGATTCGGAAGTGATACTTCTTTGAGAGGGTGCGGTGGTGGAGCGGTTAGTCTGGGTTTTAGCCTTGGTTGGGACAGATTTTTTTCGCCCCTTCCTGCCTATCCAGCAGTAATGGGTACCCGACTTCGAGTTGGGGAAGTAAAGGTGGCGTGGAAAAGAACTGGCCATCCTACCACAATATGCCGAAGGCCCAGGAAGTTGTCTCACTAACAAGGCAATCCCCAATGTCCGGATCGGATGCGGGAACAACTTGACTTTTTTACATTTCTTTGAGATACATCTAGAAGGGTTAACTATTTAAAGACTTATCAGTGTCGTAAAATCATCCACGACATTCACATTGGGATGTTACATTTTGAAATGCAGAGTACTGCCTAAGGAGTTTTATTTGCTCTTCAAGCAAGATTTTAAACAGAAGAGGCCTGTACAAAATATTCAGAAATTTGTTTTCTAGTTCAACAGACAAAATCCCTCCTCTGTGCTGAAAGTATAATGTCTTGCTTTTTCTTCTCCTAAATGTATCTATTTTTGCTTCGTTTAAAGTTTCACAATTCTCTTCTGCTCTTTTAGAAGTCGTACATCTTCAAACAAATTCATTTTCTTTATTTTTTGCTTAGCTTCTGCTAACCCAAACTTAGCTTTTCTGCCAATTCTTTACCAAACCTCACATGATGTGTTTTGACAGAATGTTGATGGTGACGATACCTTCGTGCCTGGACAAGAGAACTTGTTCAACAAGGATCTTGAAGATAATGAACAAATCTACATCGTATTCCAAGGACCAGCAGAAGGATTTGATGTCAGCATTGAAAAATTCAAACTCTGCTTGCCAGAGATGAGTACGTATGAAAAATATTTTTTTTGTCAAGTAAACACATCCATCTTTTATCCAGAGTTTATAAGTCCTGTGAAAAAGTAAAATACACACACTTCATTTGCACAAACGAAAGTTGGAAATAATCCTCTCAGTTCTAAGCTTCAGTGCTGGTTATATTCAACCGCGGATACTATAGCGAGATAGAATGATATATAATGTACTTATTTTTGTTTGATGGTAGTAGATCTAGAAAGATGATGTTGCGTTAACATATCCTTGGTTTTTATTTTTATTTTTAAAAATTTTTATTTAGCCCACATGGTGCAGTGCAGCCAAAGATCGTGTATAAAAACAACCTTTGCACTAATCGGTACTGTAACACAATTCGTGTTTCTTTTTCTTTGCTTTATTCAGGATTCTGTCAACTCACAAAGGATGAAGTTCTGAGAGAGCTCTCTTTCTTGCCATTGAACGGTGTTCTTGGTGTCAGCCCTGATGACAACGAGGAAGTCAACTATGGCTTGACAGGCCCAGGAGACACGCTGGAGGAAGGCACCAAGGTCCAAGGCAACTGCTACGTCTGGTAGGAACTTATTGGGTTTTTTTCTGTTTTGTTTTGACATAATGTGTATGTTTGAACAAAGTTTGGATTACTGTACATTTTTTTTTCTTCTTCGTTCTCTGTTATTTTGTTTTGTGCATAACTGCAATAGTTCTGAACCACTTAGTGTTCACCAAAATGCTGTAACGTTACATGCTTTCATAGATTTAGATTATATCAATAAATTCTGTTTTGTGTCTATCGTTTTAAGCAAACAGAAAGCTATTTTCTTAATTTCATCTGATCTTTTCACCACACAATTTGGTTTAGTGAAACTATTTGTGAACTTTGAAATGGGTGTATTTTGTTTTGAAGTGATAGTTGATATTGAGGATTACACACACATATATATAACAAACATAATTTTCATCTTCATCTATTTCCAGCGAGTGCGTGAACTATGTTTTGGAGTGCACTGTTGATCCAGAATGTGAGAAATGCCCCAACTACACAGCAACATGTGAAGGCTCTTGTGACAACCCCGAGTTGGTGTTCGATTTTGAGAACCCAGGCGTTGATCCAAGCTGTGTTGCCAACGAGACATGTGTGCCAGATGGATGCACTAGTGAGTTGGTCCTTGATTCATTCTCTGCAATCTTTGTAACTGCCGTGTGTTACGTTCCTAGTTATGCTTATAGCTTGACGAATAATTATAAAACGTGCTCACAAACACAAGACCTCTGTGAGAATGAGTAGTAACGGAAGTTATCCTTTATTATCAAGGAGGTCACGTTACGGCCTTGAGCCGTTATAACAAAGTTGGTCAGTTAAATCCAAGCTATTGATGTACACACATGACACCATGAAAGCTGAACACTAATTATCTGACAGATTGTGTAACTGTCATGAAAGTATTGAAAGCTGAACACTAATTATCTGACAGGTTGTGCTATTTTCAAGGCGGGGAACTTTAAGCATGTTAGCTTAGCGGAAGGCACTGATTCCTACTTAGAACTTTTCTGAGATCTTTTAAAAACAAGGCACAATTAACATCCCAAGTTTCAAGTTTTGCACTCTATACTGCACTCTTTCTACTGAAACAGGAATGTAAACACCATCCAAGTAGCTTTTAGAATGAGAATCAAAGAACAGCCATGTATATGCTGAGTCTTGTGTAAATGTTTGTTAAATGTTCAATTTTGGGAAAAGTTTCATCTCTTTGAAGAAAATCTCATATTTAGCTCAAGATAACTGTGCAATGCCAGAAAAACAGTTTCTCCTTTTGTTTGTGAACAGTGCCTTTGCTATGAAATATGTACATGCCGACAGAAAAGTTTTAGAAGAGGTAACCGAGTAGTTTCCAAAATTGATATCATGCTTTGTTTGCTCTGTTATCGCACAAAAAACTAAAAATCACAGAGATATTATAATGTTGAGCTGTGATGTCAAATTATGACTCTTTCTATCTATATGATTTCTCATGTTAACCAAAAACAAAAACTATTGTTTATTTGGAACATGTTAGAGCTTGAAGTATGCCGCACAATTCAGCACACTGATATTCATTGCTTTTTCCATCCACCTCCAGCACCTCACAACTGCCCATCCCCATGGGGAGAATGGTCCGAGTGCGACCAGTGTGTGAAACAACGAACAAGGACCTGCGACGAGAGCTGTGGAAGCTTGTGCAACAACATTCAGCTTTCTGAAGTGGAACAATGCGAACCTTGTGTGACAGGTCAGATCTCCTACGTTTTTGTGTGTGGGTTTTTTTTGGTGGGCTTTTTTTCTGTGTGTGTTTGGGGGGTGGGGTGGGAGGTTGGGAGGGGGGAGTGGGGTTGTTGTTGTTTAATTGTTGGGTTTTTTTTGGTTCCCCTCAACTTTGACACAAAAGAATATTAATTAACTTTGTCTATTTTCGAACACGTAAACTGTTATGATTTGTCTTCTCTTTCTTTTTCTGTCATCTTTGTTGGACAGATACAATTTAATTAAGGAGTGGGAGATTTGGAGGGGGGGGGGAGGACTTTGATAATAAAAAAGCAGCCTTGTGTTATCAAAAGAATACATCTCCACCCTTCACCATCGCCACTCCCACCCCTGGTCTCCCTGTGTACAAGAGAGGCAAAGCCTTAATCTTAAGTCAGTGTGCGTTGCTCGGTAAATTTGCCTTATTTTAAGCTTGCAACACAAATAATATTATATCTATTTGGATCAGATGCTATCACTGTCCCAATTGTTTGATGGGAAGTCTTTAGTACTGTAATTCAACTGCAATTCTTTTGTATTTCTCTAATTCAGTACCACCTCCTGTGCAATGCGACGAGAACGAAGAACTGAAATGCTACAACACCTTCGTTATGTGCAACGAGTCTTGCAAGATGCGTCTTGACCAGGATTCTTGCAACAGCCTGATTGCAGATGAAGACTTGCCATGCAATGAATCATGTGCCTGCAAAGATGGCTTCATGAGGTATTGTCTTCTTCTTCCTCCCTCGGGCTATCTTTTTGCTCGAAGCCACAATGTTTTCTGTCCTTTGTTTGTATGAAGAAGCAGTGGCGTGCGGTACACAATACTTGGAAGTTATGATCTCTATACCTTTGCAATGTTGTACTCGTATTTCCAACTTGGACCGCATTTTTTTCACCCCAAATCCATAAATTATTTTAATGCCTGTGGGTCCAAGGGCTACATTCACCCTCATTATTTGTAAAGTCTTAGGGGAAGAGAGAATTTAACAAAATAAGTAATGTGGGAAAATTGAGATTCTGTAAAGGAAAGAAATCGAATGTAACGGAAAATTGCAGCTTTAGCTGTTATTAATCATAGTTTGACAGCTCATGATGTTGAAATTCACACTCGCTGTGATATTCTGATTAATTTTTTTTCTTGTCCTCAAAAGAAAAGATTTCCAATCTTGACTTTTTCATCTTATTGACTTGTTTCCATATGACAGGAACCAAGCTGGAGTGTGTGTGGAAGAGCAAGAATGCGAATGTTACAATGGAACCGTCGCTCTGCCAATGAACTACAGGGAAAATGTCAGCGCATGTAAATACTGGTGAGTTGTCCACACATATTTATTAGGTTTGCACTTGTGAGAGAGTGCTTGTTTTTAATCAAACCAAACTTTTCTTCAGATTTCTCGCTATCAGCATTTCAAAGCCGAAGTAATTATGCATTGCTGTATCCTCTTCAATACTCCACTATATCCAGAAAACCTTCAGAAAAAAAAATGACGCTGTACCACTATTTTCCATCTATTGACTGTGTTGTGTTATTTATGGTTGATGACTTGATGAGAAATGGCATATAATATGAGGTCTGGGGTGCACACTATTCTGAGGTCAAAAGTTGTAATCAAATAAACAAACATTTAATTTATGTGGATGCTGTACTGATCTAAGTAATGATACATTAGAGGAGGATTATTTTCTCTTCTTTCTGCTCTATGAGCTTTGCATGTGTTCAAGAGAACACACATACAGTCGGAAAGTAAGAGACTGACAAAAATTTAGGTATTTCTGTTTGATTTTTGACATGTAGATTTGGGTTGTGGGTTCGTGTGTGTGTGTGTGTGTGTGTGTGTGTGTGTGTGTGTGTGTGTGTGTGTGTGTGTGTGTTGTAGGTTTTTTTAACATGAACCCTTTTTTGCCTTTCTCTAGCATCTGCGCTGAAACTGGATACGAGTGCTACACCATTGATGATTGTAAGTTCTTCTTTTCTTCGGTCATTATTGCTTTTTATAATGCTCTTTTAAGCCCATTTAGATCCTCCAATGTTGCTTGATTTATATTTAAGTTCGATATCAATTTCTTATAGACCACAGAATACTATTCATTATTTGACTTACTGCCAGTATTTTGTGTGTAGAGTGATATTTTGTTTAGGGGGGAAAATATTGAAATAGACAAAACTTCTTTCACGGTTTTTACTGGTGTGGATGGGTTATTGAAGCCTTTGTGGTATTTTCCCTCATTGACTTTGTAGTCTTCATTTGCTGCTCTTGGAGAATGGTATTGTGATGAACTGGTCTTATGCCTGTTTCTTCACTGATATCATCCGTTTAATGGCATCTCATACATACATACATATACATA